GAGTTCCTTTATGAAACTCTTCAAATGGGGAAGGCTTGACCTTTGCTTTTTTTCTAAGGCTTCAATGCCACATCCCTTTTAATTTACTCTTCACTACAAAATATTTCTGAGTGTGTTTTGTCGTGTTCCTTCACACTCACTCTGGAAGATGACTGAGCTAATGAGGGGAGTCCTGGAGTGGCTCTGTGGGTTAATGCACTGGGCTGCAAAGTCAGTTCAAACCATGAGGTCTGTGGCTCAAAGTCACCAGCCATGCCTAGGAAACCCTATACGGGTTCGCTACAGGTTGAAACCAACTCAACAGCACTTAACAACAGCTTGTTGGGATTTTTTCTAGTCCTGTTTTTCTTTCTTATTTTACTCCCTGCATTGTCCATATGAAGTCCTTTGATAGGATTCAAGTCCTATCAAAGAAAATAGGCACACACACACACACACACACACACACACACACAAAGAAAATCCAACTCAAATGTATGAGGGTAAGTAAAAAAAAGTATTGCTATAAATCATAGGAACAAAAAATATCAAAACATGAAGCTCTTGTTTCTCAACATATAGGTCTATATCTTGTTTGAAGGCTTTGTTTCCATCTCTCCAACCCTTCTCTGAAGAATTCTGTGCTCGTCCATTCATATCACATCAAAATGGCAGTTTGGTATCCCCGAGACACACAAGTTGTGTTCTTTTGAAATGTTCTTTGAGTTTGGGGAACAAAAGGAAGCCTGAATGGACAAGATCAGGGTTGTAAAGTATATGGGGTAAGGTTTCCCAATGAAATTTTGTGGAACAGCTCTTACCCTCAAGTAATGAGCAGTGCATTGTCATGATGCACTTTTCCTCACCAATGCAGTTTTCAGCTTTCTTAAAACTTCTTCCTCATATGCCCCCATTTTGTCCACTAAGAAAATCTATCAGGGTTTCCCTTTTGGAATTTAAAACAGTTACCATGGTCTTGGAGTCCTGGTGTGGCACTGTGGGATAAAGCACTGGACTACATGGTCAGTTTGAACCACAAAGTCAGTGGTTCAAACTTACCAGCCACTCCTTAGAAACCCTATACAGGGTCACTATGAGTTGGAACTGACTTGACAACACTTAACAACAACAACACCATGATCTTCTGAGCTACCTTTCTGCTTTGAATTTAACTGGCCTAGCATATCCCCTTGAAAGCCACTCTTTTGACTGGAACTTTTTTTTTGAAGGCACCCTTATGAGACTAAGACAAATGTATTACTGAGAGAACTTGTCTGCAGATGTCGGTGGGTGATTGATCACAGAGACGTGTTTAAACACACTTTTGTTTGGAATAAATTTATGCATGTATGAACTGGAACCCTAGTAGCAATACGTTTAGGCTTCCCTTCATGTCTCTTATGCTATTTACTATCTATGCTGATGAAAATTTAGTGAAAAGAAGAGTCAGAAACTCACCAACTCAAAGGGAATTCCTCTACTATTCAGTTAATAAAGTACCCACTAAATGCTTGCTGAGTATCTCTGTGGATATGGAAAGAAAGTCCTGCTCTAAGGGAAATCATAGGGGAAGGCAGGAACTACCAGTTACAATGTGCAGGCAGTGGTTCACCAGTAAAATTTTCACCTTCCCTGAAACCAGGAGTCCCGGTTTCAATTCTTGGCCAAGGCACTTCATATTCCTTAATTCATGGTCACGCACCTCAACTCATGACAGCCTCATGCATAACCACCACCCATCGTGTCAGTGGAAGCTCGTATGTTGCAAAGATATGGAACCATTTTCAGCAGAGTTTTTAGACTAAGGTGGACTAGGAAGAAAGTCCAGGGGAACTATAAATGAAAACTCTATTGATTACAGCAGTCTGATCCCGTTGTACTTGGGTTCATCATGTGTCTGGGCTGACTCAATGGCAGCTAACAAGAAAATACTGTGAGCTAAATACTGATGGCGGCATACTCCTGAGGTCTGCGAGGCCACAAAGATAGAACTAAGTGCATCAGAAGGAGTTAAGGCAGGCTTGCCAAAGAAGGGGACCTTAAAGAAGACTTTTGATTCCTAGAGGGAAAAGCACTCCCCACTGAGGGAAAATCACACACAGAGGCCTGTCTCACTGGGTGTGTCCAGGGAATTGCAAGTGGTCAGGACAGCTTTAGCTTAAGGTGTGAATGGGAAGGTGGTGGGAGGTAAGGCTAAAAAGATGGGAAGGGCCCATTTTGTTACAGACCTTGTAATGCCTCTCTAAGCACTGTGACCTTTGTTGTTTTAAGCAGTCCGCAGCCATTAAGGACTGGAAATGACATTGACCAGATTTACATTTTAGAATGGTCACTTTGGTAGCCACGACTGACTATAGAGGGGAGAGTTGCAATAGGAAAACAAGGTAGGAGAGAACCCAAGGATAATTATTGAAGATCTGAATTAAGGTAGTGCCAGTGTAGCTAGAGAGGAAAGAAGAGATTGGAGAATAATGTCGAAGATGGAATGAACAGAATATTGGGGTGAAGAAGTGAGAAGAGATTTGAGAGAGTTCTATGGGCCTTGAATCAGGCAGCTAGGTAAATAATGATACCATTTACTGAAGTCAGAAAGCAGGAGACAGAGTGCATTTGAGGGAAGAGTGAGTTCTATTCTGGACAAGCTGTTTTTGGGGTGTCCCCAGGCAGAAAGAAGAGGCAGGTCTGTGAACAGGAGATTACACAGGTGGGATTCCCTTGGTTTTAACTGGCGATTTTTATGTCCTCAGCATGTAACTGAGAGCCTAATGTACTTTTGCAAAGCAGGTAGAATGAGCACCATTACTTATGAATTGTGTGGTGATATGTCAAAGGACTTCCATATGTATGGGTAAAATGTCAGGCTTAATTTGAAAAACCAGAGAAAATTTTCACAGAAATGTTACTTTCCAACAAGCCTCCTGGGGCTTCCTGGTACCTGCCCAGGCATCGTTCAGGTGACCTACACAAGACTGATTCACTTGCCTGGGGAGGAGGATACCATCTGGCTGGCATCCGCCCTCTCAGATGTTCCTCACCTCTGTACGTGACCAGGGCCATGAGTACTCCCTCCTCCCACAGCCAGTTCCCTCTTCCTTATTGTTTGTTTCTCCTGTTTCCTTGGTGACCCCAGTTAAGCGAATATGCAGGGAAGTAAGAATTTGTAACGGTGGCAGGTAATGAGAGAAAGCCGATGACAGTGAAGCATGTTTCTTTAGCCAGAGTGAGTCAAGGATGCATTTTTCCCAAGTGAGCTCACACCATTTGTTAAGGTAGTGGCAGAGCTGCTCAGCAAACCTTCCATTGAAAATGCACCTGCTGACCTCAGGTGAACTGAGCTAGGGAGGCATAGCACTAGCATGAGGACATCTCCAGGGAGACCAGAAGACTGTACGATGTCTTCCTGGGTTCTTGATCTCTGATGAGCTACTATAGTGCTCCATTCGTGGAAGAGCTAAGTGTTATTGGCACTGGGAACTTATAGCTTCAGTCAGTTAATGACTTTCAATTCAATAATCATCTTTCAGTAGGCATTCTATGTAGATGTAGATTTACGGACAAGTTCAGTGTTATTTGAAAGGAGACTATGTTTTTACTTAAATTGTATGCTTTGGTCATAGCAGCAGTGTGTGTGGGGGGGAGGAGGGATGATAGTAGGGGTGGGTAAGCTAAACAGTTGTACCTGGGAAGGCCAGGAGTTTGCATCTGAATCTTCAGTGCTTGTACCCATTGGTCCTTGTTATGATTAAATGCTCCTCACTACTGCAACTGAAGAACTGAAATCTGAGTTAAGACTTTTCATGACTCAGGCTTATGCTGTGCAGACTTGTGTGAGATAGTGGAATTTAGAGCCACAAACCACAGTCCTCAGAAAACTGGGAACCTTCAAAATGTGGTAACTGTATCAAGGGTGGTTGTCCCAAATTTCTGCATTAGAAGTCCACATTGCTTCAATAAAACAGGGCTGGAGCCGCTTACAGAGGTGGTCCTTCTAGTTGGCTCTAAGGTAGACCTAAAGTTTGTATCCTCATGGGGCAACAGTCCACAGTCTCTGCAGCAGACAGAGTGGACTTGCTGCACGGCTCCGCCATGACTTTAGGTGTGTCTACCACTGGTAAGCAGACCTTTTATGTAAAGGGCTTATAAATCCAAACAACTAAAAAACAAAAACAACACACTACTGTCGAGTTGATTCTGACTCATAGTGAACTTATGTTGTTGTTGGTAAGTACCATTGAGTCGGTTCCAACATATAGCAACCCTGAATAGGATTTTTGAGGAGTGGCTAGTGGATTTAAACCAGTGAACTTGTGGTTCAAACTGACCTTATGATTGAGTGCCTATCCCACCTTGTCACACCAGAACAGAGGGAAACTACCAAAAGGGTTTCCAAGGCTATACATTTTTACAGAAGTAAACATTCATGTCTTTCTCCCACAGGTCAGCTGGTGGGTTCAGATCAGGAACCTTTAGGCAGCCAAGTGCTTTCATCACTGTGCCACCAAATACTTTAGGCTTTATAGACCATATGTCTCTGTCACAACAAACCAGTCTTCCTTAAGTGTGAACACAGCCATAGATTATAAATATGCTCTAATGAAGCTCTATTTAAAAAACAGAAGGGGGCAGGATTAGGCTTATGGGCCTAATGGTTTTACCTTTTATTTCCAGTCTGGATTTTGGGCTAATGTCCTCATTTTGCACTAGGTCTGAGTGAAGAATGTGTCAGGAACAGGATTTTGTAAGATGGCTCAGAAGTCTTTTTCAGGCCCAATTTACATAGTGACTATTTCCAGGATGAGGATCATTGCCCCAGATGTCTCTGGCCATGAGCATCTGTTTTTCACCATCCCAGAGTTTCATCCACAGAATCGTGGAGAAATAGAGAAGGCACGTTTGGGAGGAATTTCTTGGAGGAGGCCCATGCTCTGGTAGTGAGTGCCTGGAGCTAGCCATTAGACCACAATTCAAACATTCAGACGGCTCTTTCTTTGCCTTCCTCATTTGTTCCTCTCACCTTCCAGGTTGGACTTGGCCCAGTCTCTTGGACTCACTCAACTACAGGTGAAGACATGGTATCAGAATCGCAGGATGAAATGGAAGAAAATGGTAAGAAAGAAGCAAGTGGGTTTAACCTTTGCCCAACGTGATTGGGAAAATTCTTACTACAGGGAGTGGTGGAAAGACAGAAAAGCTCAGTGGGTGGTTTGGACTGCAGAGATTGGAAGGCCTTTTAGATGACGTTTAGGAGTGAAGCTGTTTGAACTATATGATAGGCCCTTTCTCTTGACCTGGATTTCCTAACCTGAAGGACATTGTTTTTCACAGTTTCCTTCAAAAAAAAGAAGAAGCCCACAAGGTTCTCAGTTGCTAGTTTTAACTCACACGTAAGCCTTTTCAAAGAACTTACTCCCTCTCCCACCAATAGCTAAGAATAGAATGAAATACTCTGTAATGTAGCGTAGTGGTTACAAATCGGGCTGCGAACCATAAGGTCAGCGGTTCGAAACTACCAGCTCTTCTGCGGGAGAAAGATGAGGCTTTCTGCTCCCGGAAAGATTTACAGCCTCGGAAACCCTGTACAGGGGGTCACTATGAGTAGGTTCTGACTCCATGGCACATAACCACCATTACCACCAATGCCATACAGGGTACATCTGTTCGTTTAGCTATATGTCCTCTAACTCAGTGATTCTCAAACTTTAATGGGCATCAAAGTAACATGAATAGTAATCTGAAATGCAAAACTGCCCATGTCAGGATTCTGATTCCAGAAGACTGTCAGGCTTGCACCCAGGTTACTTTGATCTCAGTGTTATAATGGCTACAGTTTCAGTAATACCACTTTATGCATAGCTAATGAATATTTCAATCTTAATTTTAAATTCTACCTGTTAGAATGAATATCTCTATGTTTTAGGGACTCAGAACTTCATAAAAATTTATTTTCTTTTTTAAAGCACTTTTAAATCCATGTTTTCCAAAGTGGCAAATGTTACATTTCATTTCTCTAGTATAAGCTACAAGGGTGAGGCTCAAAAGCCTACAGACAGAATGAGGGTGCGGTGATGGGCGAAAAGACCTGCTCTGTTCTTAAGAGGACAGGTGCTCAGACATCATTGACCCTTCTCATATAGACCAGGCATTCTGTGCCTTCCTGAAGAATGTTCTGATTTGCTAAAAAATCTGCCATGAGCTATGTATTTCCTGTTGTTCCAAGGACTAGAGTATGATGCTTTTTACCATAAGGAAATAACTAAAGTCCCTCCTACTCTGAGGTTTTAGGGGGTGGGGGGAATTAATGGATAGACATTTTCTCAATTTTGTTTTTTATGTCTAATAAAACAAAAGTTAGTTCTTACTATTCTTTGCTGTTGTCTGTTAAGAATGAGAAAGGAAAGAAGTTGAAAATGAATATTAATAGGAAATATTAGGGGAAAAAATTAATAAGCACCATTTATTATATAGCCCAGAGTCCTGGTGTGGCGCTGTGGGTTAATGCACTAGACTGCAAAGTCAGTTTGAATGCAAGGTTGGTGGTTCAAGCTCACCAGCTACTCCTTGGAAACCCTATACAGGGTCACTGTGGGTCAGAACCAACTTGACAGCTCTTAACAGCAATGTTATATAGCCCAGAAATGTGTCCTGGGAAAAATCTTCTCATTTCCTCTGCCAAGACCTGACCTTTTGACGGAAGGATTTTCAAACGGAGGCAGACTTGGCTCATGAAGTGGTTGGGAGTGAGGCAGAGATGCCAGTGGCATGTACAAGCACACATATATTGCATGAATCAACACATACATATTTAAGTGTCTCTTATGAACCAAGCCAGGAGTCCTGATAGCATAATGTATGCAGACTAGAGCTACTCCACAGGGCTTTGAAGGCTGTGACCGTTCACAAGCAGATCGCTAGGCCGTCTTCCAAACCGCCTCTGGGTGGGTTCAAACTGCCAACTCTTCAGCTAGTAGTCAAGCTAAAGACCTATGTGTTACACAGTAGAACTGTGCTCTGTAGGATTTTCATATGTTGAAAACATAACAAAACAAAACAAAAGATTACATAGCTAGCAATTAGTAGCCATTTCATGGAACTGTTGACTATTTAGAGACTTTCGTTGAGAAAGATAATTAATTACGGTGTATGGTAAGGCCCACTTAGTTGTGTGACTAGGAGAGAAAGGTAGTATATTTGGATCCTCTCACAGAATAGTGTTTATTCTAGAACTGAAGAAGACCACTGGATAATGAAGTACCTTCAACCAGCTGTAACACACTGTGGGTCCTACTGGAACCAAAGCCAACAGAAATAGAATAGAGAGTGAGTGCCCATCAAATGTGCAAGATTACATTTACACAACCCGCTATAGGTTACAAACGTTGACTGGTAAAAACTAGTCAAGAGATGCTATCTTGGTCTGGCAACGATGTCCTTGGCAGCCATACTCTGAGAATGAAGTGCTAATCTTTTTCCAAGTCCAATTAGGTTACTAGCCTTGAGACATCTTTATTACCCAATTATCATTTTCTTTTTTTTTTTAACCGAGTACGTAAGACATCCAAGCAGTCCCTGGGTTATAACATATATTGGATATACGGACAACTTGTACTTGCCCTTTAATGTTATGTAAATTTGCCATCACTTTGAGATGATTGAACCACTCTACTCACAACAAATTCTTCATCACAATCATACTTTCATGTGCTGCACATGCAGTTTTTAAATAATTGAAAAGGCTCTGGTCATTTCTTGCACTAAGCCACTGCCAGTTGAATTGATACTGATTCCTAGCATGTGTACAGGACAGAGTATACCTGCCCCCAAAGGCATTCCAAGGTTGACATTTTTATGGAAGCAGACTGCCACATCTTTCTCCCATGGAGTGGCTGGTGGTTTGAACTTTTTGGTGAGCACTTCAAAGATTAAGTCATCAGGGCTCCTTTCTTGCACTAAAGTAAGGCTAAATAAGGACCATGTGCACCTGGTTACAGATCCCCTTACAAATCCGACTTAAAGTCACAGTTAGGAATGGATCTTGTTCGTAATCTGGAGACTGCCTGTGTAGCTTTGAAAAAGTTTCACCAGGGAAACATGAAGGCATCCATATCCCAATGAAGCCTCATTTTCTGAAGGGGTCAGAACTCAGACCCACAGCTGATCACGTCCCTCACATGTTAACTGCAGCCATGTTGAAGCACTTCCAAACCCCAGGCACTTTGGTTGCATCCTTTTGCCTTCAATACTCCCCCTGCTTTACTTGGCACGTTCTGGTCACCCATGAATTCCCTTGAGTTGTACCCAAATCACACTGGATACTATTAGCGTACATCTCTGTCTTCCCTGCTTGACTACTTTTTTTTTTTAATGGCTGTGTTCACGTCTTATAAGTACTCAATAAATGATTGCCAAGTCCTGGTGTGACGCTGGAGGATAAGCAATGGACCACAAGGTCTGTGGTTCAAACTCACCAGCAGTGCCTCAGAAACCCTATACAAGGTCCCTATAAGTCAGAACGGACTCAGCGGCACTCAACAACAACAACAACAAAGTGACACTGGCCCTCTTGTTTCCTACAGGGGCCCGAGTTTGATTGGCCTGCTGAATTTTCTCTGAGGTAAATCTCCCAGGTTACCTTCATTTGGTTTGATACATCAGGGTAACCATTACTACCGTAGCACTGGCAGTAGCATAATGGCTGGTGAAAAACAAGTGATGTCAGAGACAGAGGCAAAGGCACAGGCAACGTCCTACACACACTGGGTGGCTCTGGCCAAGGTGGCAGGCTGTCAATGCCTTAATCACCTGACTCATGAAAAGATTGCTGATAACCAATTTCAACAATGCCTCTGCCACTCAGAAGACATTGATTTTGACGATGATGATTGACGAGCAAGGAGGCGGGTGGTGCAACTTGCACAGAAAGCAGAGAAGGGACTTGCCCAAGCGCAGCTTCTAAATTCCCAATCTGGCTTTTTCAGAGCTCAATATCCCTAAAAGTTTCCATGTAAGTTTCATTCTAGAGTTTTGGGAATGAATTGAATTCCATCCACCCTACCATTTCAATTTCTCCTTATGACCTTCCCCATTGTCTTTCCTCCAAACTCTTATGAATTTACAATAAACAACAAATCAATAATCAACAGCCCAAAATGTAATTATAATGCGTTCCCTAAGTGCTTCTGTGTGCTGTTTCTCCTTTGATCGTAAATTTCATTAAGGCAGGAATGAAGAGTTTTGTCTTTACTTCCTATGGAATCTAATACAGCCTTGGTGCAGGATGATGCTACTTACTATGTGCCATCAAGTTGGTTCTGACTCATAGTGACCCTGTATAGTGTTTCTGAGACTGTAAATGTTTACAGGAGTGCAAAGCCTCATCTTTCTCCCACAGATCAGCTGTGTGGATTTGAACTGCTAACCCTGCAGTTAGCAGCCCAATGAGTAACCCACTACGCCACCAAGACTCCTTTGATATATTTGAAGCTCATACAACTGCTAAGCCTATATATATGCTTGTGGATGTACTCCCATATACCACCCCACACCTATACAGCATAAGTATCTACCTGTGCATTAACTCATCAGTTATTGTGTGTTATTACTATTGCAGGATTGTGCATGCAATAGTATTTACTGTTGTTGCTTTTTACTGTTTTGTACCTCCCAGTGTTTGCCTTGGGTATATTGTGCTGGCCTCCCCCTTAATTTGTATTACGTTTCCCTTCCTCCAAGTTAATACATAGTAACTATAGTGATTTTCCCACCTCCTACTCCCACCCCTGGTAAACACCAAAGACAGTTTCTTTCTGTGCATAAACCTTTTCTTGATTTTTTTATAATACTGGTTTCACGTAATATTTCTTCTGTTGTTACTGACACAGCATAATGCCCTTCTGGTTCATCATGTTGGGAGATGTTTCACAGATTCATAATTATTCTTTACTATTGCATAGCATTTCACTGTATGCATGTTCCATAGTTTGTTTATCCTTTCATCTGCTGATAGGCACGTAGGTTGTTTCCATCTTTCTGCTATTGTGAGTGCATGTATGTATTTGTGTCACAACTGTAGGGTAGATACCTAGTATTAGAATTGCTGGATCATATGGTATCTCTATTTCTAACTTTTTAAAGAAGGACTATTTCATTTTCCACAGTGGTTGATCATTTCATAATCAAACTAGCAGTGTATGAGAGGTCCAGTCTCTCCAAACCCTTACCAGCATTTGTTATTTTCTGTTTTGATTTTGTTATTATTATTATTATTATTGTTACCGCAGGGGTGAGATGGTAATTCATTGTTGTTTTGACTGCAAACCACAAGGTCAGCAGTTCAAACCCACTGAAACCCTATATAGGGTCTCTATGAGTCAGAACCGACTCCACGGCACATAACAACAACAACCTGTCTAGTTTGTACTCTTTTGGTTGTGTTTGATAGTCTATGCTACAAATTAGAACCCTCAAGTTTGCCCCTATTTTTTCTTCCGTGATATTTACAATTTTAGGTCTTACATATAGGTATTTCATCCATCTTGAGTAAGTTTTTATATGTGGTGTAAAGTGTGTTTCATGTTTCATTTTCCTGTAGCTGGATATTCAATTTTATCAGCACCATTTGTTAAATAGATTTTTGTTGAAGATCAGCTGTCCGTAGGTTGATAGATTTACTTTTGGGCTTTCAATTATGTTACATTGGTCTATGTATCTGTAGTTGTACTAGTACAAGACTGCTTTGATTTCATGGTTATATAATAGGTTCTTTTTTTTTTTTTCTTTCTTCAGTAATGCTTTGCTTATCTGTGATCTCTTTCATTTCCATATAAAATTGGTCATTAATTTTTGTATCTCATTAAAGAAGGTTGGTGGAATCTGGATTACATTATATCTATAGAGTCCTGGTGTGGTGCTTTAGGATAAGCACTGGACTACTAACCACCAGGTCGGTGGGTCAAACTTAGCAGCACCTCCTTGGAAACCCCATACAGGGTTGCTATGAGTTGGAACCGACTCGATGGCACTTGGCAAGAACAACATAGATCACTTTGGGTGGTGGTGGTGGTTTATGTGCCATGGAGTCGGTTCTGAATCATAGCGACCCTGTACAGGGTTTCTGAGGCTGTCAATCTTTACGGGAGCAGAATGCCTCAACTTTCTCCCACGGAACAGCTGGTAGTTTCAAACTGCTGACCTTGCAGTTCACAGCCCGACTCATAACCACTACACTACCAGAGCTCCTCAGATCACTTTGGGTAGTATTGAATTTTCACAATGTAAAGTCTTCCTATCCATTAGCATGATAATATCCTTCCACTTATGTAGATCTCTTTTGGTTTCTTACCTTAATGTTTTATAGTTTATTTATAAAAAATCATTTAAATTCCTAGTTAGGGTTATTGCTAAGTATTTTAACTTTTGGGGTGGAGTTCTAGTGTGATACTGTAGGTCTTCTAATCACAAGGTTAGTGGTTCAAACCCACCAGCTGCTCCTTGGAAACCCTATACAGAATTGCTATGAGTTGGAACAAATTATAAATGGTAATTTTTTCTGAGTTCCTTTTCATAGTTCTCTTTGCTAATAAGAGGAATCTGACTGATTTTTGTATGTTGATCTTATACCCTGCCACTTTGCTGGATCCTTCTATTAGTTCCAATAATTTTCTTGTTGAATCTTTGGGATTTTCTATGTATAAGATCATATCATCTGCAAATATGGATAGTTGTGCTTCTTTACTAATTGGCTACTTCTTATTTTCCTTTCTTGCCTTATTCCTCTGGCTGGGACTCAATATCAAATATGAGTCGTAATAAAGGGCGTGTTTATCTGGTTCCAGTTTTCAGGGGGAATGTTTTCAATCTTTCTCTGCCTCGAAAACCTTGTACAGGGTCGCTATGAGTCAGAACCTACTCCATGGCACACAGCCACCACCACTGAGAATACTGTTGTCTGTTAGTTTTATGTATATGCCCTTAATTAACTATGTAATCTTGAGCAGGTTACTTAACTTCCATGTGCTGATTTCTTCATCAGTGAAATGTATAATATTTATCTTATTGGGTTGCGGTATTAACTGAGCTCATCTCTGTAAACCACTGTAGAATAGTGCCTGCCATGTGGTATGCAGATGAGAAATGTTAGCGGCTATTGCATAGTGCCATAGAATAAGCACTCAACCTCAAGGTCGGCAGTTTAAACTCACCAGCTACCCCTAGGAAACCCTGTACAGGGTTGCCGTGAGTCAGAACCAACTTTACAGCACTTAACAGCAACAACATTATTATTATTATTGTTTATCTACAAAATTAATGTTCAAAGTTTTTGAGACCAGGATAGAGCCAAAAATGAATCTTACAGGTTCCTCTGACTCTGAGCTTTTCATTGGCTATTTCTTGTCTGAAAAATGAGGGTGGTTCAAGTTTCCTCTCTGAATTGACATTAACATTGGTCTCCCCAGCCCCGACCTCTGGGGCAGACTCATTTAAGCATTTTGGAAAGGGAGCAAACGTCCTTGTTCTGTTTTAGGATCAGGGCATTTAATATCTACTTTCAAAGTTTAGGAGAGCTGTCAACAGGAAAGGCTAGCAAAAGTCGATGGCAATCTAGGTGCCTCCCTGAGAGACAGAGATAGGCATGTGGCTTTGGGCTGTGTGACTTCTCTGGACAAGGGAACAGAACTTAACTGGTTCTAGGAATAATTGGGATGGGCTGGAGGGTCCTGGCAAAAAGGCCACAGGGTGCATGTGAATGTGTGCTCCCAGAGTGGGGTGGGAGTGTATTGATTGCATGTCTCAGGTGTGCTGAAGGCAGGGGGCCAGGATCGAGTAAGGAAGGCAGCCAAGAGGGTAGTTATCTGCTAATTATTGCTTGTGCTGGAATGTTTTATTCCACTCAGAAAATGGTTTGATTGTTTTGGTTTTTTGTGGTATCGGCAGGCAGCCAGGTGGGGTCCATCCAGGCTGTGTGGGTGGTGTTTTCTAATTGCTGGGGCTAGGCTTGCTTTTGCCAATTAGGTGGTTTCTTCAAACCTGCCCTTTTATAACTTGATTACTACATGGGGCAACTTAATTTTGTATAATCTCTTTTTGTACTGAGTGGAGCTGCTTTCAACATGCAAATTCCATCTTGGCACATTTGGGTACTTTCGAAAGTCTGTGCACAGACTGAAATCAAAATCAGATACTGACTTATGTCATAAGGAGTATAGGGACATCCTCTTCCCAGAGGTAGATTCTGTTAGTGTCTATACCTTGTTAAAGGTTCCCTTCATGTCTTTGTGTTTGCTGATTGGGTGAAAAGTACAATGGCTGAACAGATTCCCTGCTGTAAAGAGACCTTAGTCAAGACAAGAATTTATGGTTTTCCTCACACCATACACAAAAATTAACTCAAGATGAATGAATCATAGACCCAAGTTATAGACTGAGACTATAAAACTCTTAGAAGAAAATATGAAAGAACCTTCATGATCATGACTTACGCAAAACCTTTTTAGATAAGACACTCAAATCATAAGTAACAGAAAAAATTTGACTTCATCAAAATTAAAAACTTTTGTGCTACAAAAGACACCACCAAGAAAGTAAGAAGACAACTCATAGAGCACGAATAAATATTTACACATTTTATACAACTCAATAAAAAGTTAAATAACCCAATTTTAAAAAATGGGCAAAGGAGCTAAATAGACATTTTTCTAAAGAAGCTATACAAGTGGCCAATAAACACATGAAAAGATACTAAATATCATGACTTTTCATCAGGGAAATGCAAATAAAAACCATAATAAGATACCATTTCACACCCACTTGTTGTTAAGTGCTATGGAGGTGGAGTTGGTTTCAACTCATAGTGACCCTGTATAGGGTTTCTGAGGCACAGCTGGTAGGTTTGAACCGCTGACCTTGTGGTTAGCAGTCAAGCGCTGATCCTACAGCGCCACACCGAGAGGCGTAGAAATGAGAAGTGACTTCTGATGGGCATGAGGTTTCTTTCTTTTTAGTTTTTGATGATCTCTTGGGGCTAGATTTTTGTAAGTGGATTTTTTTGTCAAAAGGGTACGCACACTTTAAGGGTTTTGCTTTACATTATCAGATTGTCTTTTGAAAAGATTCTACCAATCACGCTTCCACATTATAGTCTGAGTATTTATATTCCTACTTGCTACAATTTTTCTTTTAACTTTGTCAACTTGATAGTTACCTGCATTGGTATTCTAATTTTAATATATTGCTTATGTTGAAATTGGGTTTTAATGTTTATTATCATTTTAATAAATGCAAAAATATGTGAGATTGACCAGAGGTTTTCATAGGCTGGAAGTGATGAGTTTGAGAATACTTTCTGCCAAATTCTGTGACCTCACTGCTGAGAAGGAATTGTTTCTATGCTGTTTTATTGGGGAGCTGGAAAGTGGCATGGAGGAGGTATTTTCCCAGATTTAGTAACTGTTTTTATCCCATGTAGGTTCTTAAAGGTGGACAGGAAGCACCCACAAAACCCAAAGGCCGTCCTAAGAAGAACTCCATCCCCACATCTGAGGAGATTGAAGCAGAAGAGAAGATGAATAGCCAGGCTCAGAGCCAACAATGCCCAGAGGTCTCTCAGAGGCACGAGGGGCCCGGTGGCCCAAAGGAACCGGAGGCCTGTGATGGTCCCTTGGAGGTGGCAGAGCACCCAGGCCAACCCCAGGAGTTGCCAGTAACCTCTTTGGAACCCCCACCATCAAGCTAAAATAAACCTCTTTTGGGGCATGGGGGGAGACTGGGAAGAAGGTAAAGGAGAGAAGGCAGGGAAAATAGGGAGAGAAAAACTTCCAAAAGACTAAAGCCCGATAAACTTGGATAGAAGAGATTCACATCTCCCTTCCTCCCTCCCACAGTTCTCAGCGATATTTCCATTGCAAGCATTGTTGATGGAGACTTGATTGTCTTCAGCCTTTCTTACATGGAGAGGCTGCTTTAGCCATGGGATGCCCTTGATTAAGGGAGACAGCTCTTGGAACTGCCTGCCCCAGGTGGGAGAGCTGCCTGAAGGTCTGGGTACACACACCAGGCCTGCAGTGGAGATTGCTGAAGCTTGTTCTTTGGCAGAGGGATGTAGAGGGGCGTGAGCAGAACACCCAGGATCCTTGCTGACTCAGCACTTATTTCTGTAGTTTTTCAAGAGAATTCAATGCTTTGGTTGTTTTGTTTTGTTTTCTTGAGGGGAGGGGGCTAAAATTGGACAGATTGGGCAAAAAAGAATTGGGGAAGGGAGACCTGAATTATTAAGAGTTGTTTCTGAATGAAGTTTGTGTTTGTTTAAAGACACGTGTGCCTTTGTAACCTTTATAAAGTGGTCAGGTGACCCAAGAACTGATAAGCCTTGTTTTTCTTGCTTCACTAAATTGCCATCCCTGAAGCTGCGATGCAATATGTTAAGATAACTTTTATTTTTTAATTAAAAATAAATATTTCAACAGGATCCAGTTTTGTTTCTTGTAAATTTAGCCTTCCTGAGTAAGTCCTATGGAAAGAGAAACCCAGAGAGCTAGAGAGCCTAAAATATGGGCCAGGCTGTTGGTTTCCACAGTTCCTTGCAGAGCGGTGAAGTGGCTGCACAACCCCTGGGGGGTGAAGAAAGAAAAGAGTGGCTGGTTTGCTGCCCACCCCACTTCCCACCATTCCCCCTCAGAGTAGCTTCACTGTTAGCGGCTGTATATTTTAGACTTACAATTTGAAATTACTATTTTACTTTTTTGAAGACTTTAATACATTTATATGCTTCAAAAGTCAAAAGTATATTTAAAAAAAAAGTCTTTCTTCCACCCGTGCCGCCTCCACGTCATTTGGCCCTATCCCCTAGAGTAACCATTGTTATTGGTGTCTTATGTTTATCTCCAGTGTGTCTTTCTTTTCTCTAGCTCTCTTTTTTATACAAATTATAAAATGATAAAAACAAAAAATGCTTAGCATTTTATCATACCTATTCACGTTAATATTACATTGGGAGCATTTTCCTATTTTCAGCAGTGGGTTTAAGGGTTTATTTATAATCTGTCCTATGAGGATGTATTTAAATATTCCTGTTTGTCTTAGTCTGGGTTCTCTAGAGAAACAAAACCAGTGAAACTTATATATGTGTATATAAATATATATATACGTATAAATTTATATCAAGGAAGTGGCTCACACAGTGGTAGAGATGGAAGAGTCTCAAGTCTGGGTCAGATGAACCAAGCTTGGCAGGTCAGATGGCAGATAGACAGGTCATAGAACAGGTCACTGGCTCAAATCCAAAGAACCAGAGGTTAGAGGAAAAGCCAAACGTAAAATCCAGTCCCAGCAGAAAGCAAGCAAGCTTTGCTCGAGTGTCTTAATATATTGGAATCAGGCCACACCCCCAAATGAGACAGCCTTTACATGGATTGACTGCTCATAGCAGACCTCATAATCGAGTTAAATAATATTATATTATTAACTACATCTCAGCTGTCAAACCACTGAGAAACCTGGCACAGTCAATTTGATACAAAGCCTTAACTATCACAATCCACCACTTGTCAGCTTGACACCTATACATGTCTCCTTAAACCATATACATAATCTCTAAATACAGTTATAAAGTCATACTTGTAAGTAATGTGATACAACTAACATATGTACAACCAAAAATGCACTGATTTACACAAATGAACATCTTATATTGCACAAAAAACAAAGCAAAGATATTTTTTGTACACATTTTACACACACACACACACATAGAGAATCCTGTTGTGGTGCTGTGGGTCAATGCACTTGAACTGCAAAATCAGAAGTTCAAGCTCACTAAATGCTCTTGATAGATAGATAGATAGATAGATAGATAGATAGATAGATAGATAGATAGATATGTGTGTGTATTGCTAAGTGCTATTGAGTCAGTTCTGACTCATAGTGACCCTTTTATAGGGTTTCCAAGGAGCAGCTGGTGACTGAACCACAGACATTGAAGTTCAAACCAACCTTTAGGTTGCATGCTTCAAATTCATCAGCTGCTCCTCAGAAACCCTATATTGGGTTGCTATGAGTGGAAACCAACTTGACGGCGCTTAACAACAACAACATACCCAGAGATGTTAGTTTTGGCAGAAACATTGTGTGCAGGCAAGGCAAATCCATATCCAGAGTAAATTCGTCTGTTCTAATAAGAACAAAATGCTGCCCTTTTCATGGTGGAAGTGGTCTGATGTAATCAACCTGCCATCAGGTTGCCGGCTGGTCTCCCTGAGGAATTGTCCCATATCTTGGACTCAGTGTTGGTTTCTGTTGCTAGCATACTGGGCACTGTGCAGTGGCTGTAGCCAAGTCTGTCTTGGTGAGTGGAAGCCCATGCTGCTTAGACCATGCATCATCTCCATCCCTACCTCCATGGCCACTTTGTGCATGTGCACTTTGGGCAATGACAGGAATGGCTGTAGAAAGAGTTTGATTTGTTTTTACAGTGTATTTAATCCTGTCCTCTTGATTGTTCAAATTCTTTGCTGAGGTAACCATTTGGTGTGCATTCACATGAGACACAAATATCTTTGCTATTTTTTTTTGCCTGTTCAGAAAGGTTTGTCCACATGCTCTTCTCCACACCACTTTGTCATCAATTTTACAGTCATGTTCATTCCCAGACCAGCCAAACAAACCATTGGCCACAGCCCATGAATCAATATACATTCCCATATCTGGCCATTTCTCATTTCAAGCAAGATGAACAATCAGGTGCACTGCCCGTTGGGAGGATTTCCCTTAACCACTGTCCTTCAGGGCAGTCCCAGAAAGGGGTTGTAGTGCTGCTGGAGCCACTTTTGAGTGGTGCCTGCATATTGTACAGAACCATCTGTAAACCAAGCATGACTTTTCTCTTCCTCAGTCAACTGATCCTAAGGAATGCCCCATGAGGTCATAGGTGCAGTCAGGGAGAGGGAAGATAATGTAATAGGAGTAGAGACCATGAGCATTTGGGCCACTTTCTCATGCAACTTGCTTGTGCTGTCAGATCCTGCTCAAGCCAGGTCATATATACCACTTACATTTAATGATGGAATGTTATTGTGCATGTCCAACTTTATGACTCTGTGGGTCAGTCAGCACTGAATTCATAATAGTAGCTCAGGATGCATGGTGACTTGGTGGCCCATGGTTAGGCATTCAGCGTAGTGGTTACGAATTGGGCTGCGAACCTTAAGGTCAGCGGTTCGAAACTACCAGCCACTCCGCGGGAGAAAGGTGAGGCTTTCTACTCCCGTAAAGATTTACACCCTCGGAAACCCTGTACAGGGTCGCTATGGGTCGGAACCGACTCGACGGCACTTAACAACAACAACAACAAGGCTTAGTAACAAGCCCGTTTCTCAAAAGGAGAATAGTTATATATATAGTGGATGACAGAGCTTTGCTCCAAAATCCTAAGGGTTTGCACTGTGATTCACCAATAGGGGCCTGCCAAACACTCCAAATTGCATCTCTGACTGTCACTGACACTTTAATTACCAGCTTGGTCATTTGGTCCATATGAAAAAGTGGCTTTCATGGCAGCCTGAACCTGTTGCAGAGCTTTCTTTTGTTTTGGACCCCACTCAAAATTAGCAGTTTTCAAGTCACTTGATAAATAGGCTAGAGTAGCACACCCAAATGAGAGATAATGCTATCTCTAAAACCCAGAGAGGCCCACCAGGTGGTGTTCCTCTTTTTTTTTTTTTTTTTAAGTTGTGCGAGGGCCAGATGCAATAGTGTATCCTCCACACTAAGGTGTGGCGCTGTGAGTTAATGCGCCAGACTGCAAAGCCGTTTGAACTACAAGCTCGGTGATTCAAGCTCACCAGTAACTCCTTGGAAACCCTATGCGGGGTCGCTATGGGTCAGAACCGACTCAACGGCACTTAACAATAACAACAACACTAATAGGAATATCTTGACATGTCCCACACCACCCTCAGAAATTTCACTGAGGTGGAAGTGACTGAAGTTTTGTTGGGATAATTTCTGAGGCAGTTCAGACCCACCAGCTGCTTCTCAGAAACCCTATGCAGGCTTGCTGTGAGTTGGTAATTACTTGATGGCACTTAACAATAACAAGTACGCAGATGTTTTACCCATAAGTCTAGAGTCTTGATACTTGTTCCTTACTAGGTACAATCAATATAATGTCATAAATACAATGGATCAGTGTGATGTCTTGTGGCAGGGAAAGTCAATCGTGGTCCTGGCAGACTACATTATGACATAGTGCTGGAGAGTCGTACTTCTGAGGTAGGACAACGCAGGTGTATTGTTGGCCTTGCAAGTTGAAGGCAAACTGCTTCTGGTGATCCTTCCAAACTGGAATTGAATAAAAGGCATTAGCCAGATCAGTAACTGCATACCAGGTACCAGGAGGTGTATTAATTTGCTCAAGCAATGAAACAACATCTGGAACAGCAGCTGCAATTGGCCTAGTTAAGTCTATGATAATTCACTGTCATTCTCCAAGATCTGTTTTTTGCACAGACTATATAGGTGAGTTCAATGGGATGTAGGTATCATCACCCCTGCATCTTCTAGTCCTTGATTATAGTACAAATCACTGTACTGCACTCAGGAATATATGATAGTGCTTTTGGTTTACCATTTTACTAGGCTTGGTGCTATTAGATAAGTACTGGACTGCTAACTGCAAGGTCAGAGGTTCAAGCCCACTAATTGCTCCTTGGAAACCGTACTATACAAGGTCGCTATGCGTTGAAACCAACTCGATAACACTTAACAACAGTGAG